TGGGGTTGTGAATATTATTATTTTCACATTTTCGAAATATATATATATGGTCTATTAGGTGTATGTATGATCAAAGCTACCGTATTTACGCGCTACAACAGGCTGAAAAAGAGTATGAAAATATTTCAACGATATAGATTTCTTATATAGAAGAATTCTGAAACTGAGAAATTAAATATAGCCGACATAGACAAAATAGCAGAAAAGTTTGAAATATGCAAAACACTTAAATGAATAAGATGATATTGACAAGTGTGAACTGTTACTGAAACTCACATAGTACGTCGACAACCATTGAATGATTTGCCACACCCATGTAACTGTCGTTGTAATAGTTTTTTGCTGTACATACATAAATTCCAGAACTGTTTCTCTGTATGTTAGGTAGCCCTAGCATGGCTCCATCTTGTCTACAAAGGGGATTGTCAAGCTTGGTCCAGTAGACAATAAAAGAACTTGGATTTCCAGGAACCACATTGCAGGCGGCTGAAAGATTCCCACCCTCTAAAATCCTTTGGTGGTCGAATGTGTACACTGTCGGAGGATCTGCAGCCCAAAGATGAATTGAAAGGTAAGAAATTTTACGGTGTCCAATTTTAAATCAAGATAATTTTTGAACAGTTCAAAATATACAAACTCACATACACACATACTGGTACCATCTCACACCCTTCCTCACAAACAGACAAACACACACACATACACATACACACCCTCACACACACACACACACACCCTCACCCCCTCACACACACACACACCCCCTCACACACACACACACGCAACTCTATCACACATATCCATAAAAACACACCCACCCACGTACACATACACACAGAAAGTTTTCTATTATAAGGCCAGGGTTGCTAATTATGATTCAGTTGAGGTCCCAAAACTGGCCTGTTGAATAAAATAATGTCAAAAATTAATTGAAAAAAATTTCATTTCACTACTATGGGTAGACTTAAGATATTTGACAACTTACAAAAAACATTAACGAACATCGTTTGACTGCTCGTCCCTTTCCCAAGATAATTGTAGTAGTTTTCCGCCGTACATCTATAGGTACCAGAACTGGTTCTTTGTATTCTATATATAATGAGAGTGGTTCCATTAAATCTAAAGTTCGGGTTGTCTGCCTTTGTCCAGAAGACAACAAAAGATCTTGGGTGTCCAGCTGTCACGTTACAGGTGACTAACAGATCTTCTCCTTCTAGAATGGTATGATTACTCAAAGAGGACACAGACGGCTCATCTTATAAAAAAAGATTAACAAGGTATGTTATGCTCATTTTCTCTCCCATTTGGCTGCATAATGGAGCAAGTTTAAGCAAGTTTTGTATATAGAATTGATAATGCATGCCGCATATGGTTGTGTAGATAAATTATCGTAGACGACAATGGTAATAAACATATTGCCATTGCATTTCCACTGACATTTAAATGAGTGCGATTCTGAGGAGGGGGTACTGAGTGTAATTCGGAGTTAGATACCTTGTGTTATTATTATATTATAGGTTAAAAAAAAATTCCGAAACAAGCGCCTGTGCATTTGACGTATATAGAGAAAAAAATACTTTCATTCTGGTTTTATCTAATTTATGCATGGACGATTTGGCCTAGCACCGTTTGTAAAGGAGTCTTACAAACGCATAAGAGATAAAGATTTCGCAAAGAGAAAATTTTCACACATGGCATGACCACGGAGTGACCGATGGAAAAAAAAATGTGCGGGTTTTTTTTAAATAAATGAACAATAGACTTCTGGGATTTTGTTACATAATAATTTTTAAACAACAGGTACAGGTATGACGAAGAACGTTTGGGTTATATATACTTTCAGGCTAATCAACCGAGTCTCTTTTGATAGTTGAAATCGGCACACTTATTTGTGTATTTCAATAATACATTATCCCATTGTGTGTTTATAAATATTGATAAGATAATGTTTGGTTCTATTTTTCTCTTTTATATCTTTCCAGTTCAGTGGCCAGTAATTACTAAATGAAGTGTGGTAATGTTTGCGGAGACTTGCCAAATATTTTGAGTCACGGGCAACAGGAAAGATAACTCCAAAAAGGAACTTTGAAACCAAAGGTTTTCAGAATGTTTTTTCTACATAATTGCATTAAAATCCCTTTTTATGTAATCTAATTCATTAATGTTTCTTATCTACAAAAGGAGTCCTTATTGATTTTTCTCGAAAAGTATTTAAAAGAAGATGAGTTTTATGTACTTTTTATAAAAAAAAGAATAAAGAGCGATATATGGTAAATGTCTCAATAGGCCCCTTAAAATGAATTTCTTAATTTTACTTTATATATAGCTTTAATTAGTACAGCTATATATGTGACCTTTATTGGTCATTTTCATTTTGATCAAATGCCGGTATATTAGATATATGACATTATAAAAATCACGTTTTCCCGCAATTTAAGCATATTTTGAAAAAAAAAACTGCATATTTTCATGCAGTTTTCCTTTTAGAAAATATAGAGCGCAACCTAGAACAAGCTTTATATTTTTACCAAAGATGTATCTATCCAATACTAATTAGTGACAGAAAAATTATATATGTTCTGTACTGCGCTCTACATGTATGTTCCCCTAAAAAACATCAAGAAAAAGGCTTATTTTTGGCTTTTTTGTTAGATAGCAAAAATAGCATTATTTCTAATGTCATTTACAGCTAGAGATTGATTGATTATATACTGTTTAACGTCCCTCTCCAGAATATTTCACTGATATGGAGACGTCACCATTGCCCGTGAAGGGCTGCAAATTTAGGCCCATGCTCGGCATTCAGGGCAGGGAGGGATCTTTATCGTGCCACACCTGCTGTGACGCAGGGCCTCGGTTTATACGGTGTCATCCGACGGACCGCCCCACTTAGTCGCCTTTTACGACAAGCAAGGGGTACTGAAGACCTATTCTAACCCGGATCCCCACGGAGCTTTACAGCTAGAGAGTGCATATAAAGGTAAAAAATATATTAGAAATATTTCTAATATAATATCTTCTTCAAAATAAGTATCAAAAAACATATCTGAATGTCATTCTAAAATGTTGATTTTTAGGGGGCCAAAATTGGCTCTTATCATTTATACTCCTTTATGTTAAAAAATTGATCAATATAATTAATTTTTTATTGCTATTCTTTGAGCTTAAAAATGTGCGAAAAGGTGAGACAAAATTTGTTGTGCTAGGTATGAAAACGCCGTAGGAAAAATTTCTTGAAACTTATGAAATAATTAATTCAAAAAATCAGTACGAATTACATTTTTATCCCTGGACAGCTTTTAAAGGTTAATACGCTTGTTAAAAGTAATGCTCAATAATATGAGAACATAAGCTGTGGGTGTATGGAGGACCCTTAAACTTTAATATGCCAATAAAATAATTGACACGGTTAATATATATGTAATATATTTAACGACGAAATGAACCAGTCCTGTATTCCATCACATTTCAAGTTAAAGATTACCTTGTATTTCCTACAAATATACATTGACTGTAATATTGTTTCCAGACCTTTATTTGAAAGAAAACTTTACAGGCCTGGATATCGAACTTGTAAATATTCTCTATCTAGAAAATTAGCGAAATAATTTTAAAACAGTATCTTTTGAAAAGCTAAAAGTTTAGGTACAAAATATTCACAATGAAGTATTGTTTCTTCCACAGGAGGCCGAAACTGAAATTATTGATTCCAGTTAAGTAAAAAAAATACATGTATTTACATTTCACAGATACGAGGGCCGTTCAAAAATTACGCGGACTTGTTGCACAGAAGAATTATTTGACGACATAATCGGGCAAAATTTCACAAATAATATAGAAGAATCTTTACTTATATGATCTTCAAAATTTCATATCAAAATGTTGTAAATTGGTATTAATTTTGAGTGATTTTTCAGGACATACAGCAAAATCTTCGACGTCACAAGCATTATAAAAAAAATGTGATTGAGCTTTCATTTTCTCAACATTTTCCCTTGAGTATTGTTTAGTTTGAGTTACCTTATCTACTCAGCATCAAAACACCATTTCTTGTCAAGCTTAAAATCTATTAAACAAGTAAAGAATATTCTTTTTTTTTTTTTTTTTTTAAACCAAAAACTACTTTTGAGATATATTGTGATTTTGGTGACTCTCAATCACGTTCTTTACAGTCCGGATAACGTAAACTTTTCGTCTATAATCTTCTTCCCGTCCTTCCGTATAGCCTTTTTTTCAGAGGTCTGTCTAAAATTTCATTTTGCTATTTCTGGGCGAATGTCACGAGTAGCCTAGTTTACTACATGTTTTATTATACATATTTTGGATCTATGTTGCCGATATCTCGAGTATTACACATATTTTAACAAAAGTGTGGTGCACCGTCAATTCAGTAGACGTCATTTTTCACGGTCGTTTTCACGGAAATTGCATCAGAGAAAAATCACTATATTTCTGTTAGTACTTCAAATATTACGTCCGAAATCTAATTACATAATAAAAGAACAATTTAAAGGTATATTTCAGACGTAACAGAAGAGTGACGTTGCGGTCTAACAATTCTTATGTAAGACCGGTCAATAGTGAAATTGTTAGACAGTGAAATGTTAGACTTTTTATAAGTAATAGATATATAGAATGATATTTATAAGGGTATTACAATACTGCATAAGTAATGGAAGCTGCAGATTAAAACGTATCAGTCATTTATCACAAGGCGGGGTTGTTAGATTACAAATAACGTCTTTTCTAAGTAAAAAATCCTAAAAATGAAACAGATATGTCAGACTCTATGGTATCTTATCTGAGTTTTTACTCATAAGATCAGTCGTTGGGTATCGGAATAGTCATAAAATATCATCTCTAAGAAAGTCCCTACAAAATGGTATGCATTATACCTTTCTCCTTGGATAAAAAATTAGAAATCATATGATAATCTTTGTCAAAGGTCTCCAAAATCGCGTAAAATGCGAGAAAGGGTTAACAGATCTGTGTGACTCAGTTTCTTAAGTAAAAGTCGTCTATAATGGCCTCGAAACATAATAAAGTGTTAACTTACACAAAACATCAACATTGTTAAATTGCAGCACCGTCTCTTTGTCGCCATTGCTGTAGAGGTTTTTTGCTATGCAGTAGTAGGTATCGGAGCTATTTCTCAATGTGTGAAAAAGCTCAAGTGTTGTTCCATTTTGATGGAAGGAATTATTGCCAAACCTTCCCCAAGAAACAATAGAAGAATTTCTATACGCTGCGCCACAGTTTACAGAGAGATTGGTCTTCTCAAGTACAAAAAAATATCGCCATAAATTTAGCGGCACATGCGGTGGTCCTAGACCTGTAAATGAGTGAATTATTATTATTATTATTATTATTATTCAGTATAATATTCCACACGAAATTTATCAATTTGGGTAGTTAAATTGTATGGTGGTTGATACTGTCAAAATAAATCCACATGTAAATCGGAAATGCTGATGGTGTGCATCAAGGAATCGACGTGTCGTATACATTTACTTCTGAATCCTGATTTATTGTTTCACAGAACTGTATGTTTATATAATATATTCATTTTAGAAATTAACAATTTTTTTAAAGAAATTTAGAGCAACTATTATAATTACTGGTTTCGGTCATTTGTATTTTGCAAATACTAAATTAAACCTGTAAGGTTTTTCTTTATTTTCAAATGCTTATCCTTATTATGTGCTAAGTAATAAAGTCATGGAAATTTTTAATACTTGACTAGCACTAGCAAATTTTTTCCGATTTTGAGTTATGGAAAAATTGTCAAGTTTATTGTACCGATGCTTATTAATATACAAACTGACCCAACTAATCCATCAATTTTCTTTCCGTTTTATGACATGCTCTATGCGTAGATATCGTAAATATTTTTCAAACAAGTGCATTGTCAAAAGTTATTCTCTCATCATCACTTGCATATTCATATTTATTTCTTTTACATTTCTTCACAAAATTTCAGAATATAATTAGTTTCAAAAACATTATGAATAATAATAAACACTGCTTTCTAAGGAAATTGTGCTCCTTTATAAAGAAAATAAATAAAATATGCTCCCCGGCCTAAATTCTTATACTTCACATTTATAGCAACCTACAATTTTTTTGTTTAGTTTCTTATTCACGCATGCATTTTAGACCTACTGTTGTTTATAAATTCACCTATATGTTTTTGTAATCTCCGCATACTATTGTAAAATGGTGAAGAGATTCAAATAAATGACTGATTAATTGATAGATATCACCTATATCTCACCTCATGCGTACATAACGTGAAAATCTTACTTTCAATATTGAGGATGACTTCCGGACTTTGATATAGCTCATTATCAGAACATCTACAACTCCAGATACTGTTTTGCTCATATTCAGTCATGTTTTCTGCAGGTATAGTCAACGTAAAGGTTGATTTGGACAAACATTCAATGATATATCTCGGATCTCTACCAAAGGTATAACACTTGGAACCAATAACTGCAGCTAAAACAGAACTGTAGCTGTTTCTGTAAAAGCGAACATCAGCAGATCTTTCCCCAGGAGGTACAAAAGCTTCACATGTCCAAGTAAACTCTTCTCCAAGAACCGGAATCTTCGGAGATCCTGTCAGGTTAAACTGCTGACCTAAAACAAGAAAAACAAGTACCGTTCAAATTTTAAAAAATGATAACTGTTCAACTACTTTTTCATGGCTTTTCATTGTCCATTTGTATTCACAACACAATTTAGTAAGTCATACTTTGTATTTATGAAATAGCGGAAGGTTACAAACAATGATTGATATGAAATAAAATTCTCAAAACAATTCATTTTATAAACCGGAATAATAAATTACGGACCCTCGAAACTCCAGATATGCGATCAGGTGCTAATAATGAGTAATTATTCCCTAGCGACAGGTCCCCGTGGAAAAATACAAAGATTTACAAAAAAATAAAGAAAAGAAAAGACACGAGGATCCTCATTCCTTCATGGCACCTAATTCCACATCTAAACTGTTTAGATAGACACATATGTTTGCTTTGCTCCGTTTATATTTTGTTTTATGTACTTTTAGAGTTTTCTCGCTTGTTACAGGGTATATTATGAGAAAACTCCTAAGTTGTTTTGGATTATCAATCAATTTCTATTAGCTGCATTGTTAGAAATATTTCAGCACGCGCAAGTATAATGAAAAGTAGTTGTTAGGTCTAAGTATATAAGGTGCTGGTCAGACGTGAAGACTTCATCGACGAGCATTCAACTAGTTTCGAACACGCTTTTAAGTCACCTGAGTTTCTCAGGTTACCTATTGCTATCCGTTTTCGTCCGTCGTCGTCCGTCGTGTGTCGTGTGTTAACATTTGAATATTTTCGGTTTTTCTCCGAAACCACTCAACCAATTTCAACCAAATTTGGTATACAGCACATATGGGTGAGGGGAAACAAAAATTGTGAAATTGATAGTCCCCCCTGGGGCCTGAAGGGTTGGGCGCCAAAAACACTAAAGTTAATGAAATCTTTTAAAATCATCTTCGTTACTCCTGGAAATCAAGCAGTCAAACTGTTGACATGAATGTTACAAGCATTGAGTCCTCTGCCAAAATTGTGAAATTCATGGCCCCAGGATCAGGCCTAGGGGTTCGAGTGCTAGGGCGGGAAATATAGATTATATAGTAAAATGCATTATTTTTTGAAAATCTTCTTCTCTGCTCCTGGGTATTTTAATAAACTAAGTACATACAGTGTAGTAATGATGAGCAAGAGTGCCTCTTCCAAAATTGTGAATTTTATGGCCCAAGTGTCATGGGATCTGGTGTTAGGGTTGGGCTATATAGATTATATTATGAAAATACATTAAATCTTAAAAAATATTCTACTCTGCTCTTGGGTATTAAATAAACTAACTTAGTATATAGTTATAATGAGCAAGAGTGCCTCAACCAAATGTGTCAATTTCATGGCTCCTGGGTCAGAGGTTTTGCCATTTGGTGTAAAGAGGGGGGGGGGCTCATTTGATTATATAGATATAGTGAATATACATTGATTCTTTGAAAATCTTTTCCTTTGCTTATGGGTATTATGTCAATGATCTTGGTTTATATATTATGACAAAGAAAGGCGCATCTAGCAAAATGGTTAATTTCATGCCTCCTGGGTCAGGGATATAGAGGGGGGTGGTTACATACGAGAAACTTTATTCAGCATATGCTATTTATAGAACTTGTGTATGGCTATGTGTGTACTGAATTTCATCCTAATCTGAATTGTGGTTTTCTAGATATAGAGATAGTTTGCGAGTTAGTTTGCGAACTTTTTGATCACCCCTCGTAGTCTGAAAATAAATAAAAGGCTGTGAAATCTGCTCTTTGGTACTAATCAATCATTTATGATGAAATTAAATTTATGATAAAAATTTCAAAATTTGAAATATGTGGCCCCAGGGTCAGTGGTTTCTTTGGGGTGGGTGCACAACTGGCTGTAAAGTGTAAGTGCATTTTCTCTGTTACTCTGTTCTACCTTCTGATATTAAGTAACTAGAGTAAGCATGTTTAGTGTATAATTATGATAAGCAATAGTGCCTTTTTTCAAAATTTTGAATTTCGTGGCCTCAGGTTTAAAACTGGAGCTAAATTCAATTATTGGTAAGTTAAATTGCTATATGATACTCGGTTGACCTATAAAGCCCGTGGGTCTCTTGCTTTATTTATTCAAGCAATCACTGTCTAGTTTGTTGGGTGTGCAGGACATTATTGACAGTTGGAAACATGGAACATTTTGCATGCATATAAGGCCTTCTTGACTCCTGACCTTTCGCTTGGTGAAATTTACATTCCAGTAGAATTATCATGAAATCAACTTGATTAACTTTCAAAGAATTAACAAAGAGAAAACAAAGAAATGGAAATAATGTTAAAATAATGCATAATTTTTATATATATATAATTTTAATATTTTACATTGTATTTTGTAGATTGTAATGTGGAATAACTTCTTGGGGTCTGCTTCCAATGCATTTCTGATAATTTTGCGTGTTCATTGTACATATCGCAAATAAACTGGTTGATAGGCGCTCATCACATTCTATATCTATGTTCTGTTTATTCATTAAGATACTTAGAATAGAAATATTTTATGTTTGGATGAGTGCCACGAAGGAGAACATAACGTGTAGCATATATATTATATTGGATTAAATTTTTTATTTTAATTCGTTGGGTTTTTCTACGCGAAATAATGTTATGATATATTTCATTTTCGTTTTCACAAGGTTCCCAGTTTTTCCTAAAAATCAATCTATGGTAATTTATTGGTATTCAATATTTAATTTTCACTTACATGTATATACATTCGCACAAAAATATTGTACCTACCCCCGGTATTCCTCGGATAATGTAACGTCTACTTTTTTACAGAATCTTTATTAAATGCAATTGATGACACTTTTTTTCAAAATTATAATTATAAAATTAGTTTAATACTTTTAAAATACAAACACTTCCAAACAATAAACTGTTATTAACACTGACTTGATAAAAATCAAAGTTCTGAACGCACTCATGGGAGTTGAACATGGTGTATAACAAAATCTTTGATCGGGAGGTTAAGTGAGTAAACAATTTTATTATTTCAAATAAAGACAAACTGTTTCAAATTTTTTGTGTTGCAACAATCTTGAGAAAGACATTCAGAGACATTGAATAGCAAAAAAATGGATGTGCCATAATGCATGCCTCCTTACATTAGTCCTTTTTATACCCCCTTCTTGAAAAGCGGGAGGGTATTTATTAATCGGGAATTCCGTCCATCTGTTTGTTACGCTTTAGGTATACCCATCTCTTATCCGTAACTCCTCTTACGCCACTGAGCGAAATTTTCATAGAATCTTTATTACATATTGCCGTTGTGCACCTTCTATTACTTTTTCATCCTACACATAATTTCGGTTTCCCATTGCAAAATATTTTCATATTAGAGGCGGTTGATCATTTATAGAATTCACTGCTCACATGCAGTCTTCAAATTTGTTATATATTTTTCCTTCGCACCTTTACCCATGTGTTATGAAAATTTCAGTTTCGCAGGAATAATATCAATATTTATATAATGTGGATTTTAACACAGCATCTTTTTAAGAGGGAACAGGTTTGTTATATTAAACTTCTCTGTGAATATAAATGTATTTCAGTTACACGAACAATATACATGGAGTACGTCAGAACTTAATTTTTATTATTATTGTGAAAAAAAGCAATACCAAGTTAAAAACAAATATTTAATGACCGAACATAAAAAACAGTGGTATATGTGAGAGTTTGTGTGCATACAAATTATCTGGTAGGTATGTAAATGAGGTTTTCCTTTTATTAAAAAAATATACTTCATTTTGTTGCTTTTAATCGCGATTTTACGAAAACATGGGCGTCCGTTTTTGGTTTTACTAGTAACATTTATAACAGAGTACTAGATGTAACGCTTTTGGAAGGTGATACTGCTGATTTACTAATAAATACGCATATTTCCTAAAGTTTTAATGCATTAAGGAATTAATTTAAACCAAGGAAATATTCATGAAAAGTTTGAATAAATTCTCTGCACCGGTAAAAAAGATATTGCTAAAAATCCGGGACCGCCGGGCGTCGAGAAGACTAGATTCACCGCTTGCCGTCAGTATGTAGAGTTGTCGTTCGTATCTCTTTCAGTGTATGACGCTACACTGAAAATGAGTTCCATTACGAAAAACTTTTGAGGGTCTTTATAATTTAGTTTTACTTTTAACGAAATCTAATATTCAAAATAAGATTACTTTATTACATTTACTTACATTTCAAATTATGAAAATTAGATCAATTCAGGAGAAAATGACATGAACTATTTGTGGCGGATGTTTATGTATGTTTTCTGTTGAATATCATCGGAGTAAATCGGGCGACACAGTAGCCTCGCTTTCGGCTCTTTATAATCAACACAAATTACTGCGCATGTTAAATACGTGATGACCATGGGAGATTGAACATAGTTCAACTCCCAAAAACAATGAAACCGATGAACATCTTCTCTTCGTTTTGCTATGACGTCAAAATGGAACTCGAAAATTTACTTACCTTGTCATTGGCCATTTTTTTGCAAAATTATTTAAAAAGAAATATTCCGATTGTGCCAACAAGTACTGTGAAACTGACATCAAAAAGATGTTTGGTTTTCTGATAATATCTATGTGGTTTTTGGGGGCCAGTTCTTCCAACAATCTACTGGGTACTAATTGCGCGCCGTTACTAGCAGACCTTTTTTTTATTCATGTGAAGCAAAATTGCATAGTACAAGAAAAAATTCGAAGCCCCTCGGTTTTCAATGACGTCTGAAACGAGTTAAGATTTTTCACAAGGATCGTAAAACAAAAATACAATTTATCATTTTGCCATCACATGTGCGTTGTAAAATGAAAAATAAAAGAGATGATTTTTTCGTGACAATCATATCATGTTTATTGAATTTTTTCTGTATATGTGAATGATGTAGGCTTTACATGTATCTCTACTCAAATAAATTGTAATGTGCGTCAGGTCATGAAAAGTATATTGTTGAGTATATGCTGTGGCGAAAATGAAACCTTTTCCTTCCACTCTTTTTTTTTCAAACTAGCATTGTTCATTGTTCTTGAATGATATATTTTTTTTAGAATTTCGTTGAATGTTTATTCATAATATTTCTTTGTTGTTCTTTTACAATAATTTTTATCATTTTTATCTAAGTTCTTCATTAAGAAGGGAAAATGTCAACATTGCTATCAGATGCACATATAATTGGCTGATTTATTGTAAATTCAGAAAAAAAGGCGAATTATAGCTTAATAGACTTACTTTTCATGACATTAAAATGAAATTAATTTTTTATCTTAGAGCGTGAGTTTTTTTTTTACATTCAGGTACTTCTTTAATGCGCGTCATATTTCGCCTGATTAGGAACATTGTCAATATTTAAGTACATTTGCATTTCCAAAGCTTTCACATACATTTAGAAGTTTTCAGTTCAATAAAAAGAAATTTTAAATGTAATGACTAAAATATGTTTTCTTTTTTCTTGTTTTTTATAGAATAAAACATATGGAGATAATAAACAGTATACCCGATCAAAAGTTATTAAACTAATACAAAATAGAAGCAGACAAGGACCTTCAAGACATCAGACGTAGGATCAGGTGCATGGAGGAGTGAGCATCCCCTACTGACCCTGATGAAAAAAAATGAGGAACTTTTTAAACTTTATATCCTGTTTAACTAAAAAATAAATGTCAAGGTTAAAAACTTCACTGGGAAATTAAGTTGGTCAGTCACTTGGATAAACTGCTTTGAAGTCTGAATGTCTTTTCATGCGCGGTGGTCCCGTACTGGGCCACTTCAACGCCCAGTGAAGTTTCTAAAACTTGTATATACATTTGCAATGAACAAAAGTATCAAGTTTCACACAAATAAATATTGTATTGACTGTCCGTCGAAGATTTTAATACAATTACACAAGGTGTAAATCGGCTTGAAAATCGGTTTTGAACGCTTCGAATTCATCTAACAAAGGATTCTGTTTTGAAGGAAAAGGCTACTTGTGATCAGTAATGGTTAGCAATCTCTTGGCTCCAAAATATATATATATATATATATATATATATATATATATATATATATATATATATATATATATATATATATATATATATATATATATATATATATATATATAAAACAAGTTTTTCTTTTTAGTTTCATACATATAAACTCAAAAGAATTGGATTTAAGATTTATCTTAAAGATAATAAAAGATAAGACTTATCTTGTTTTAAAGAAACAATTTCAATTCAATTAAATATTTTGAATATTCTTTTCTATAATTGCTTAGTAGAACAAGAAATTTATAGATACTATTTCGTGATTAAGTCCTGTAATGACCTATGACCTTAAAACATTTCATATACGTACTCTCTGTATGTTATTATTAATCAGAGTTACAAGTATATATTTACAATTTTTTTTACCTTTTAAGGACATGGATAAAAATCATTATTTCCTATCTAGCTTGTAACACGAGCTTTGATTGGTTACAAAGTCGGGTGTAAATATCCGTGCACCCGACTTGAGCCGGGTGTAAATAAAACGTGACGTCACAATGCATACATTCTCTATGATAAAAGCTAAAAATCATGTTTACAAAGCATTTTTATGGGTACAAAGGAAATAAATTCGTTATCCAGGTCCAATCAAGGGTGTACCTGGATAACTAATAGTACCCGGTATTTAATATATGTATTGATTATAGAAAGTTACATAATAGAGGTTTAAAACCTCAGTCTTATGAAACCTAAAATGATAAGGAATCACTTTAAATCCTAAAGCTTTGAAGTAAATTTCATTAATAAATATTGAAATAATTTCATTTATAAGTTCATTTTATAATCACTTCTTGTGTAAATTGATGACAAATTTAATCCGTCAAACGTTTCTTGATTGACATACCTGAAATTCATAGATTAACAGTTGTATTGATATATCTATTTCAAAAGACAGTTTGAATCAATGATATATTAACAAGATGCTAATGTTCCTTTAACTTAGACGTACAATCAAGAAGAATGATATTAGAGGCATTTAAAAAATATTTATATAGTAGTTATTGCATCAACTGCTGAAAAGATATATATATATATTTTAGAAATGCTGAGCGGAAACTATACATTATCATTTTTAATGCAATAATAGATACTATATATATAAAGAACCAACCTTTTGATAATTTAGCACAATAAACTGCTATACAAACAGACTGGGTGAGTAAAGGAATAATCCATTTTCTTTTCTTCTGATTCGACGTCATGATTTTTCAAAATTGCTGAACGCCACAGCTGTTTTATCTGTTTTGCGTTGGATCCATTTAAATAAGCCTGTGCAATTGTACGACACATATTAAATCACTTTCCTTATCTTTAAAAAACTTCCTGGAACACACGATATTGCTGCAGTTTAACTCAATGACCAACATTTATTAAATTTGTCTAGACGACATTTAAAGAGTACCTAGGAATGCTAAAAAAAAATCATCAATGTATATTCTATGGGTAGACAAACTTAATCATTTTCTGTTTGTTGCTAATGGTTAGATAGAAATATATATTCGTCAAAAAAGAAACACATAGTAGGAACAATACCCTGATTCTTTTGTCATACTTTTTTTTCAGACGGATTTGATGCATTCGAGAATAAGGCGTTATTTTGATGCAGTTGTTAACTTTACATTTAATCTAGACACAGACAAAAAGATCTGATTTAAATATGCAAAATCTCTCAAAAATTGTTGATCTCAATTTTCATTTGTTTGTTTCTGATGCAATCCCTTCAGGCACAAAACTGCTATCAAAAGCAGACTTTATCAATATTTTGAATTTGATTTTATCTGGAAATTGACGTTATTTAAAAATGCTGCATCTAAATGTTGCTAAGCACAACAACGAAAATGGGAGATTGGAAGCAGGTGTAGGGCAGCCTACAACTGCAAGAGGTTTTAATATTACACACAACACCATTTTAAACTTATAAAATATATATCATACACAATGAACACGCAATATTTTTTTTTTAATTACGACAGACCACGTGTGGCATAAGCAGCACAGGATAACTTCAGAGGTCGGATCCCAATAACGTCATCAACATCTTTAACTATCGCTGAAATTCACAGAACATCTGATTAGATCATTTGAAGTTTAATAAAGAATGCTTGAAGAGGATTATCCATGCCATTGTTCTGTCTCAATAACACCCAATATATTAACTTTAAAGATCTTAAATCAACAGAGTATGGTCACAACAACTTCGCTGAACATTTCAGTTAAGCTACCAGTTCAGAATGTTTATCGGAAAGCCTGTTATAAGTTCAAGAATGCTAAGGCTTCATAATGAACGTTAGTTTGAAAACTGCCTCCAGGACGTTAGAAGATTTGTTGGGGGTAGTGTAATGACATGGAAAACGATATTACATAAAAGTAAGACTGATTTTGGTTCATATTCAAAGGACTTTGATGGAAAAAGTTACGCTAATAATGTTCTCTCTGCACATGCCATTTCAATTTTGCAGCATCCTCTAGCGGTATTTCAATCTGACAATACACAGTCACATATAACTTGTTTGACAATCAGGTAGCTCTGGGGTCGATTTTTTATTCAAGTGCCAGGCTAGCATTGTACATCGTTTTTGATTAATAATATTCAGATGTCAGTTGAATATTATTTCAAATTTCTCCTTTACTGCTTTATCGTTGTTATTCCATGTATTATTACACAACGGAAAATGTAAAAAATTCTCATCAATTTTTTTTTAATATTGACAGTTTTACTATTAATTATGTTGGTTTCCCCTCTTATAAAAAAAAATATCGCTAAACACACATTTATGCCATTGAGCATTTTCAACTGGTAAGTGAAATAAATGATCGATATATCCTATTGATCAGGTCTTATTTTTATTACTTATAGGTACCTCTTAAAATAGTTCACATTGATAATGAACATTGCCAACATTCAAGTACATTAAGCTTTTCGAATTTTACGAATAACTAAATGAAATTATTAACCTTTCTATAGAAAAAAATATATAGAATATATCAATATAAAAGAAGGAACTGCGCCTCATTTAACAATTATTTTCTCGGGGTGGAAATTTTCAATGTTACACTCAAATATGAATCATTTCCTTCAATCTTGTCAGGCTTTAAATGTCTCAAAAAGAATATTAAAATTACTTGAATTCCCACGTGTATTTTTACTTTTTTACCTTTTATTTTTACTTGAACCATTCATCGATTTAATGAATAGTACAGTATCATTTAATTACAGAATACTAGTATATACATCCATATACGATGCAAACGAAACAACCTTGAAAAAAATGGTGCTTATGCGATTTTCAAAAAGGAATATAAGGACTAAGTTGTATGGCGTTAGACATAATAAAGTAATTATAATTTTTAATAAAAAATTACTGTGGGCTGTAGAGAGGAAGGTAAAGGAAACGTTTTGGTTGGTAAAGAACAATTCTGTTCACAAGTATTAGTTCTGGGTATTTTTTTAATAATGACAATTTTCTACCCTAGGCAGCAATTCTTATAATTTTTTAAATCATATATTATCAATATTTTTATATTTTTCAATGTAATTCATTAAAAAATATATTTTTGAAACAGTACAAAGGAAAATCTCATATAACACCTCAGTTTCTAAACATGTATGCGCCTTTTCTAAAAAAAAAAATCGGCCGATCCAATAGTGGCCATGCATCAGACAAATTCGAGATCATGTATATGTATTTCAAACTGATATTCCTTTTCATAAAGGAAAAAAATCAACCTGTTCGATAAGGCAGGTATAAGATAAATCTTTAAGATTTACGTTGTATGTATCGATATATGCCTCATACAATTCTGCATTAAAAATAACAGACAGTTTCCTGACGAGCCTCAAACTCTCTGATATTTTTAAATATGTATTCGGCATATATCCAAAACAGATAGAACGCTCGCTCTGTGACCGAACTGTTGTGTGTCTATATCTTGATTTCGGCAGACATAAGTCAATAAATAAAAATGGGTAGTAACTGTTCCTTTGTAATGTGCTACTACACTAGTGCTTTTGAAGTAAAAATGCGGATCCCTCAGATAAGACCTAAATTAAAAACCGAGGCCCAGTGTCACAGCATGCAATGACAGTATAAAGTAACGTCTCTATACATGATGAGAGGAAAATTTTCGCATCAAACAATCAATCTAAAAAATCGTGTTTCTGTTAACAAACAACTACTGTTACATCTTAGAATTAGCTGCTCTTTTTCTGGACAGCATTCTTCACAAAAAGCTTTATTTATTCCTAATTGGGCTTACATTGTAGTTTAAGTGGTCAACTTTATTGCCTTTACAAAGAATTTTTATAAAAGAAAAAATTAAGATATTTTTATGAAATATTATAATGTAACAATTAATAATTATTTTTGTAAACATTCAATGAATTAATCATGACATATAATGGGATAACGAACATTATTCAAGCTCAAAAATCAATTTAAAGATACAAAAAAAGAAGCAGAGCAAAAACAGACGTCCCAACTGTTTGAGGTGGGATCAGGTGTCATCTTATATAACATAACCAAAAAAGAGGAAAAAAATCATTATTAGTTTAAATTCTACAGTGGTATATCAGCATAGGTTTTAAACTTCAAGATCACATCTGATTATATTTAGACCTTTATACATCTGCTTCATCTAGATCAGTGATGTTCTACATTTGTTTTGGATTTCTGGAAAAGAAAAATGAAGAATTTATATCATACAATATAATAACAACCGGTGTTTTATTTTGATCAATTTGATTACAGTTTCTTTTTTCAATATACTTGTGTAAATAAAACCAAAAGATAATCATAACATGCATTAAAGTTCTTAATTTGCTTTAGTGTATGATATGTGCCTCTATATATGTACATGTGGATAAAAGCAAATAGAATACCAGTCTATTTGTATTTTATCTTCTTGATTTTTGCACTGTACCACTCGGCTACATAAAGGTTATCTTTGCTGTCTGTACACAATCCATGTGGGCTTTCCAGATCTAGGCTATCAAGATAACGAAGAAATGTTCCGCCCTGATCAAGGATATGTACGCAATTGTTACTGCAATCAGCCGTCAAGATCTGCCTCAGGCTATCTGTGGCTATGCCTCGTGGTGCAAATGCTTCTTTCTTGGTACTTGGTGAATAACCGGAATACCTAAACCGGAATTTACCGGCGTGGTTGACAACCACCACTGAGCCTGCTCCACAATCAGCTACACAGATATCTCTGTTTCTGTTCTCTGTTATATACCTATAAAATTTTCCTGGCTTGAAAAGAGGCTTTCGAGAATCATCTAGCTCAATCGTCTGTTTTTCGGTTGTCCCAGAAAAACGGATAAGTTTTGTTCTTTTCCAGTCGTTACTGAGAATGATGACTAATAAGTCTCCATTCATGGAACAGGAAACGTTGTAGGGTTTCCACCTTTTCAACTTTATCAATTCCTTAGCTTCTTTATCTTTTACTAAATTTACAGTTCCTGCATCATCGTCTGTGTAAACTAATTCTCCATTCTTTGTCACTGCAATAGGGTCTGTAAGTCTCGTTAACTTTCACTTTCGTTTTCTAACTTCCGGGTACTTGGGCGTTCTTGGAGACAATGAATTACCGCTTGGCATTTAGTTTTAAGCCTCGCGGTGGACTAGCAGAGCCTGTCATGTCGTTTGTTTCCTGATTATTGAAAAGAAGAGGATATAATGGATTGATTGATACAGGTAAACAGCGTTTAACTGCTTTATTGTTTTAATAAACGACGTACATACAAGCCATTCCGAATGGGTCACGATTAGCAGTGTGGTTGGCGAACATTTTAAAGCATAAAGGAAAATCAAAATATTTTTAAAGCTGGAATAATGTGTTTCCAAACAAAAACGTTCCCTAAAGATTGGTTTCTTAAATTTATTTCATTTATTTAGCACACGGGACGGGTGTATAGAATGGGGGGGGGGGCATAATCAACAAAATAAAGGTAAACAGCAATTTTCAATGCTATATTATGTATATATTTGCAATAAACAGGGGGGCTAAAGCCTATGTATTATACGTGTATTACAGTAGAAATAAATAGATTTACTTGCTATGTACTCTATCCAGAAATAAAAATGTCAAATATTACTTCTTTCATGTAAACAGGGATGTATACACTAAATATATTCAATTTCAATATAACTTGTATAGCCTTATGACTCCCTTTCTGAATACTCTTACAATTATGAGACAGACTTTTTTTTTCCTTCTTAAAATAGGAATTAGAAATAGGAATATTTTTAATGAAGGCTTAGGCATTTGTCAGATAGATAAATCGTCTCCAAAAAGGCAATGACTGGGTCCATAGGACATTCATACTTCAACGATAGAACATTTTATCTACATTTGTCATCATATTAATTTATAGGGATCCAGCAGATATGGAAAAAGGGACAACATTTCGACTGAATGTGTCATCCATATACCGGTATAAATTTGTTCTGTTCATGAGGCATACATACTGTAAATGTATTACATTTGGTGTGTATAATATTTGATGGAAATTCAATTTTCAACAAGTTATCATTCTATTAGATATCTGAATGTGCTAGTTATTAAATTCATATACAAGACATTTAGTGATGTACTTGGATAGGCGGACTATGTTTTCCACTAAATAAAATATATGGCTAAATGTAATATGTTTACATTATGTATAGTATTTCTCATAATTCTTATACTCATGAAAAGTGTGACAACTTCCAAGTAGTTAATGATGGAATTTATTTTCTTTTGTATCGAGTAAATTTTGGGCTGCTCTTTTTTCTTTCTTCATTATCAAACCTACTAGTTCATTTACTTATCAAATTCAGGAAAGCTCACATACAATGATAAATAAATTAAGTTGAATGAACCATAATACCAGTTAAGTTTGGCACATACTTTCTTATTAAATATCAAATTTGATTGGTAAAAACATTTGTTAACAATTACTTTTCTCCTTCGGTGTGCCTAACATTACATCTCTATGATTCAAAATGCATGTCGATACATGTAGGTACATGTAACTTCTCCATAAAAATAGCTAACTGTGCAGAGTGTTCGCACACTTGTTTCAACGAATGACATTTTCTTAAAAATACCTCAGTGTAACAAGACAAATATTGCATGTTTATTTTGATACACTATACATGAACTTGAGAATAAAAAAAGTTGACATTGTATATTTGCTAGTTACTTGTGTAATTAGTTATATATTTATATATATTTAGGATGTACACAGGCATAATATATCACTGTTAATATTTGAGAAAGTATTCATTTTTTGTGAAGATGCTCACTTCCACTTTAATACATTTGCCAGGTTCTTGTGAAAAGTGTTTTATTTGGCACCATTCAGCTACAAATACCCAATGTAATCTTTGCCGGTGGAATTGTGACCTCAATCAAGTGAATCAACTGCTCATGACACTGCTAAATGGCAGAGAATTTTCTTCTGAGACAAGCAGTTTGTTTCAAACATTTTACACCTACAGGTTAGTACTTATAAAATTTTGTTTGAAGGAAAATAAAGGCTAACAAGATCTGAAAATACAAGCCAGATGTACTACAAAAGTGTTGATACAAGTCATTTAAAAAATTCATTTCTTTGCAGTTAGTGATGATTGCAACAGAAGTTTTTATCAGAATCTCGTCCGACATCATAGGTACAACTGGTCACTGTGATTTCTTAAATAAGAGGACATATTGTGAAGGCGCCTAGGCGGTAACATATGTACACGTGGCTCCAAATGATGCTTGACTGTTTTCCTTCACTTTATACGTAAACCTGGATTGGTCTTTGATGCAATAATATAGAGCCATGTCATGTTTTAAATCCCATCTTCCCCTTGTCTCAAAGTGCTGAAATAAAATGATTTTGATTTAAATATATATTTTTTGTTTTTATAAAATGTAACAAAACATTTTACAGAAATTAAAATATTGTACAAGTGGAAATTTTAGCGAGATCATGATGCAAATTTAATGATTTGTCCTTTAAATTTGGTATTTTCTATTTAGAGAGAAGTAATTGTAGCGATTTTTAAAGAATTACTAACTTTATAATATTTGTATATAATTTTCATTAACATAATTATTACACCTAAAACACATTTAATTTTCAGTGATATTAAATTTTAGCAATCTCAGAAACCTAGCTGATAATGCCTCGCTAAAAATTACGCTTACACGGTATTAAAACTACCAATTAAATAAGTATCTTAAATGAAAATCTTTTGAAGGATTTGCATGTCAATTCTTTGCTGATAGGGTTACTTACCTTTAATAATGTCATGACAAGTGAGGCACATGGCTGGTCTTCACGCTGGATGAGTTCTTGATCAAATCAGTGATGTCCTAAGATTTCCAGATAAGCTGACAAAAACCTGTAATTTAGCAAACTTCTGTAAAATGTCATTCGAATTATTGCACAGTTGTTCCAGTATGCATTACTGATAATTTAGGTGTAATGAGTTATAAATCTGGTAAATATCCATTTATTGGATATTTAATACAAATCTTAACCTTCTTCATTAAATTTTATCAATATTTTTACAAGAAAAACAGACTGAAATTGTCCTTTTTATACCAAAAAATGTCAAAGGCCTTTTCATAAAAAAAATTGATTTAAAAATATTTGTTTTACACACTGTATTTTCATATCTAGAGTGCCCCTACTAAGGCCAACAATAACAAAATGATTTGTTTGATCATGATGTACTCAACCTTACCCATTAAAATCTGCCCTAACATTAGTAATCATTTTATTAGCACTTCAATTTTTTTTTAAACTTCATCAAATTTCTGAGTCTGTGATTTTTAATATGAGGGTAATGCATTACTGGACATCCATGACCTTTATGTAATATTTTGATATACTATGTCTTATGAAAATAAATTCTATATATATGTCCTAGAATTTATTCTGTTGCATCTGATCAATTTCATACCTGTATTTGATTTGCATTTTTAAGGAGGCTGATCATTCAAGTCAGTTTAGTCAGTTTAGTGCTTGACTGGATCTTTCAGCAACAGCATCTTTCATCTTTGTTACTGCCTGGTCAATCTAATTAAAATTAGATGTTAGGTCCACTCGCGAACTCGCTACATTAACATCTAACAACATCCCATAGAGGGTCACGTCAGAGGTCAAATTCGGAAGAACTCTAGACTTATTCCCTTCGATTACGTCAACAAATAGCCGATGATTTTGCCAGCGACAATTTGATTGGTTGATACATATTGCCCTCCGACGCCACCCTCTATGGGATGTTGTTAGATGTTGTTAGTGTAGCAAGTTTGCGAGCGGATCTAACATCTAATTTTGATTAGATTGCTGCCTGGTTCTCTTGCACTTCTGCTATAAAATAAGTTTTAATGTATATAATTGTATGAGATTGATGAATAAACAAGCAAATTCAAAGAATTGTGGTCCCCCGCTTTCGGTATCTTTGTGGGCAAGATATCATTTTTAGGGTCAAGGTCAATAAGTAAAAGTTTTTGGTATCCCACGAAAGGTCTTGCCATAAAGAATGCATATATTTAAAATATAAAAGTCCTAGTTTCTACCGTTCAAAAGTTGCGACCAAGGTTAACGTTT